TCCTACATCCATTCATCATCCATAATTCATCCATCAAACATCCATCCATTATCCATCCATCATCCATCCTACATCCATTCGTCATCATAATTCATCCATCAAACATCCATCCATTATCCATCCATCAATTATCCATCCATCTTCATCCATCCATTATTCATCCAACATCCATCATCCATCCATCCTCCATCCATCATCCATCCATATATACATCAATCCTCCATCATCCATGAATCATCCATACATCCATCATCCAGCCATCTATCATCCATCCATCCATCCATCCATCCATCCATTTCCTGTAAATGTTTTTTCCTTTCAGGTCCTGGGGGTCACTGGTGCCCATATCCAGCAGTCACTGTGTGAGAGGCGGGGGACACCCTGGACAGGTCTCCAGTTCATCACAGGGACACAGAGTTAAATGAGACAAACAACCATTCACTCTCTCACTCACACCTAGGGACAATTTAGAGTTACCAATCAGCCTCAGTGTTTCTCCTACCGTTATACAAGCAGGGCGCCCCACTCTGTTAACAGAACTGAGTGCCCTACATACCAAACTCCAACACTAACCCCATACCACCCCCACCCCGCTCTGACAACTGCTGGCACTGACGTAGTGCTAAGATGGTGCGCAATACGAACGTGATAACGAAAAGGCTACAGAGGTAGTGCTCTGTTTCCCTCATGCTAAGCTGTCTCCACCACCCCATACCCCCCTGCTTGAAAACTGTCGGTACAAACAGCACGTATCCATCTCCAACTGGCTCCCCAACCCCTGGTCGACAAAAATCACGGAAGATACGAGTGCTTTGCCAAGGCAAATAAACTAGCAGAAACTCTGAGCCTAACATGCATGTTTTGGGTCCGTGGGAGGAAACCAGAGTACTCGGAGAAAACTCACACATGCATGGAGAGAACATGCAAACTCCACCCAGAAAGGCCCCGGCCAGGATTCAGAACAATGAAAGCTGAGCAGGCCTCCTGAGAACATACATCATCTGATTCAGGGAGAAACCATCCATCTGAACATGCAGAGGACGAAGAATCGTGGTTTCATTATTTCGTGAATGCAAAATTTATCAGGAGCTGAAACAGTCAGCTGGGAAGGACAGATGATGTGCGGAAAGAGAAAATTCTTGTTAAAACTTCTATTACTGCAACTTTTTAATTGAATTTTTTGAAGTCTCCTAAAACAAAAGGACAGAACTGTGATTTATTTCCTTCTTCATTTTACTCCTTTACCAGAGAGTGTGTGTTTTTTTTTTTTTGTAAGAAATCAATAAACACACTGGTCCTTGAGGGACTCTTCCCTTTCCATGCTTGTTAGTTATTGATGGCCTGTTTCGGACCTCTGTGCTTGGGAGAAGACAAGCTTGGTAAACTCGTAGCGGGCCTTCCATACCTGATATGGTGAGGGTGATCTCCTGCGGGTTTCCTGCAGCGGTGCTGGAACCGGCGGCTGAAGCCTGGGCCTGGACCTGGGCCAGCGCTTGCGTCAGGCTGGAATTGTTGATGGTCAGAGTGATCTCCTGACTGTTGGTACTTCCTGCCACAAGCGTACCGCTGCTCATGACGTGGTTCAGGTCCTGAGAGGCTACACGGTCCATCACCAGGCATGGTTAGTGAGCTCATAAACAGAGCATCTCGTTGGTTCATTCACAAAGGCTGCCTCACGTACCTGAAGCATCCTGCTCAGAGAGCCCTGCCATTGACACATGAGAAGACGTGATGGTGGAGGGCTGCAGGGCCAGACTGGTCAGAGGGTGGAGGATGACATTCGCAGAAACGGAGGGGTCAGCCGAAGACATGAGCTGGTTGCCGGAGTGGGACACCAGGCCAGTGTCCACGCTAAGGGGCTGTGAGAGGAGACCTCCCTGTTGTAAGGTCTGCTGGAGGATGGCGGGGTCAATCTGAGACAGAAAGAGCTCAATCAGATGAAAATGATAATAAGAGTACCGCATACCATTGTACACTCATGTAGTGAACTAAGCCTCTGGTCAAAACCTGACCCTGAAGACCTTAATGGGACAGGAACTGTTATTTCATTGATTTGAATCCAGAAATACAAATTAGCTCATCCAGAGACTTTCTAATTGTATCCTGCACTAATCAATTGAAAGAACACTCTCTTTTTATATTGTCATTACTATTTTTACAAATGTCCTGATAATCAAAAGTGTGTTTAGTTCAAATCATTTTAAATGTTGAAGTGAACCACTCATTTTAAATCAACTGTGAAACAGTATTAATGATTTTTTAATCCTCATTCAAAGTAGAAATCAAGTTAATGTCTGTTACAAAGTAATTATGCATTTTTTGATCTTCTGTCTGAAATGAGAAGGAGTGATGTCGGTCAAAAATCAGAGACAGTCGCAAACAAGTTTATTGGAACGAACTGTCATGTTTTTAAACCTCTCAGACAGAAACAAGATGAACTGGCAACTGTAGTCTGTCATTTCTCCAAAACATTTCTCTGTCTGTTCCTAAACATTTCTCTGTCTGTTCTTAAACATCTCCGCTGTTTTTCTGACTTGTAGTAACCTCTGGCGTCACTAAAACCACACCCCTGTTGGTTCTTTCAACCAATCAGGACTTCCCAAAAGGGACCGGAAGTAGAACTCTTTAAAAGTCGACACTTCCTAGTTCCAGTTAGTTCTGGAAGTTCCGAGGGATGAACCGAAGTTCTGGAGAGAACAGAAGTTCCATGGAGAAGGAAGACAGTGTGACTTTGCAAGGGTGAAGTCCACGGTGGTCATTTTCTGAAAGATGACACCTGTCTGGAGTGTTGATTCCGGTCCTTACGCCAAAGACCTATTCAACATCTCAGGAGTTCAGCACGTTTGCTGAAATTCCACTTAACTTAATCCTATCTTTCGGGGAAGTTTATTTTGGAAGCTGGGCCAGTCAGCCTCGTCATCCCAAGTTGATGAGAAGCGGATAAATCCCTGGAGGTAAAAAGACTCAGCCTTGCTGGATGCCAGGAGAAGACCTCTCTGAAACCCCACCAAGGTAAAGAGTCGACGCTCGGGTACATCTAGCTGAAATCACCGGGAAACGTGCTATCTGGTTTCAAACAAGATAACTCCCCATCTTTTCTTTATTATCTTAGTTAACCCTAAGTATCCACTTTCCCTTCTTAAAATTTACTCCATCTCTATATTTCTCTGCCAGTAAAAGATAAGCTAAGCCTGCAGACATTAATTTAAGATCTAAGGAAATGTCTGTTGTTTTTATTAAATAAAACATGCCAAGTTTTATTAATCAGAGCCGATCGGAATAATCAAGTGTACAATGTTTTGATGTTAAATTTTGATTCTGTTAATAAATGACCACATTCATTTTGATGGGTCAAAGAAAATTAACGTCTCATGTCACTGATTAGACCATCTCCCACACAGTATCTCTGTCACATATCTGTCAAGTAGCTCGAAAAAGAGAGAACCCGTTATTAAATATTGATTGTAGTGAAGCTAACTGAAGCTAACCGACCCTAGCTCACTACACTCATCAAACATTATTATACATTAATCTGTAGTGATAGCCCAGGAAAGCAAAGACATTGAATAACATTTGATCTTGAATTGTGATCTTGACCTTAGAACTGGGGCGATAAAAAGATTATGTATCACGCTGTCTAGTGGTGGTACAAATGTGTGTCAAGTTTTAGTAAAATAACCTGAGCAAATCAGAAGTTATGGCCCAGACAAGAAAAGACCTTGTACAATATTTGATCTTGACTTTTGACTTTGATCTTGAAGCTTGGGTGATGAAAGGTGTACACAACACTTCGTCTAGTGATCGTGAGGCAACACAACTGCAAATACCAGAAAAGGTGAATAAACGTGAACACATTATAAATATTTGTAGTAAAAGTTTAATGAACTCCTTTAACTTCATGACAATATTCAGTACTGGTTATAATAATATACAGTTCTGGTAACCGGTGATGATGCCTTGTTTTCAGTCAGGCTTGACTTTTTTTTTTTAAACCTTGCTCATGAAGCTGCTGCAGCTGCCCCAGAGTGTCACTTCTTAAGCCTGCATGGATGTGGCTCTGATGGTTTCTAACAAATGTTTACTCGTGCACAACGCAAGTGTGTTTTTGCTCTTTACATCCAAACTAAAACCATTTTATCGGCTGCTATGAGACCAAGGTCAGCTGCAGAGGAGACACATATGTTGAAGGAAGGAGCAGTTTTACAGTGTCCCTCAAATGTGACAGCAGATCATCACCTAGTGAGCTAATATAAAAATCAAAAGTATAGCAATAGAGGTAAAAACAAACACATTTGGAAGGAATGCATGATTTTACTACACTTCTTTCGGTTTTCCCTCTTCAGGGGTCACCACAGTGAGTCATCCTCCTCCATCTCACTCTGTCCTCTGCATCCTCTGTCCTCACTCCAACCATGTCCTCTCTAACTGCATCCATATATCTCCTCTTTGTCTTGTTCCTGGCAGCTGCATTTCTAACATCCAATATACACTGTCCCTCCTCTGGACATGTCCAAACCATCTCAGTCTGGCCACTCTAACTTTATCTCCCTGTTGTTCAACCTGTGCTGTACCTCTGATGATCTCATTCCTAATCTTATCCATCCTTGTCACTCCTGAGGAGAACCTCAACATCTTCATTTCTGCCTCTTCAGGTTCTGTCTCCTGTCTTTTTGTCCATGTCTCTGTCTCCAAGCCATACAACATGGGGTTTAAATGGGTCAGTTTTCCCCCTAAGCATCACTAAAAGTGTGAAAAGTCGCTGGAAGCATATGGGAGTTATTAAAAAGATTCTGACAATGTTTCTCGAATGATTTTTGGGCTTTGTCAGGAACAATAGTGTTTATTGACAACACCAAAACATAAAAAAAATAAAACAACATACAAAACATTAAAACGCTCTTCATTTTTCCCACAAAACCTGAGGATTACAGTTAAATAATAATAATAGAAAAATGTTTGTTCCACTTTGGAGTAAGCTGTTGGGGGAAGAATCAGTTTTGTTGTGTGTTTCCTTGACTGATGAAGCCTTCTGGATCGAAGGCGAAACGTTTCAGCACAAAAAAAGAAACTGTCCAGATGACCTGACTGAAAAATGTTGGAATTAAAAAAAAAAATGTTTTTTTTTCCTCATAACCTTGAATGATAAAATCTGAATTGCTGAATCACCAGATAGGAAGATTTATTGATGTCCCAATAAATTCTAAGTGCAGTGGACAAAGATTATCCATCTGCTGTTCAAGAAAAACAAAGCCAGTGAATATTATTTGGATCAGGCTGCAAAAAGCACTATTAAAACAAGATGTGCATCTCATTTTCCTCAAAAGCTCAAACACCATGAGTTGTTTATCTCTTAATAAAGAAACCGAATGAAACATCTAAGAGTTCAAATCCACATGTCAGAAAATCTTTAGTGGCATCCCTTAAGACATTTCCCCGGGTCTATAATGCTGCCACCTTCAGGTTTGGTTGTTAGTGAGTCTTTTTGCCTTCAGCTGTGTCTCCAACAACTAAATGACGCAGAAAAACTGGTTTATGCATTTGTCACGTCTAGACTGGACTATTGCAATGGTTTATTATCTGGGTGTCCAAATACTTGTTTAAAAAGTCTTCATTTAATCCAAAATGCTGCTGCCAGAGTCTTAACTGGAGTTAGTAGGAGAGATCATATATCTCCAGTTTTAGCTTCTCTCCATTGGCTCCCTGTCAAATTCAGAATATAATTCAAAATCTTACTTCTGACCTACAAAGCTCTCAACAACCTAGCTCCATCTTATATTATAGATCTTACTGTTCCATATTTTCCTAACCGAACACTTTGCTCTCAGACTGCAGGCTTACTTGCAGTTCCTAAAGTTTCCAAAAGCAGAATGGGAGGAAGATCTTTCAGTTATCAGGCTCCTCTCTTGTGGAACCAACTTCCAGTTTCTGTCCATGAGGCTGACACATTATCCAGTTTTAAAACTGGGTTTAAGACTTTCCTTTTTGATAAATCCCATAATTATGGTCAGCTTGGGTTTCCTGAGCTGTCCCTTAGTTATGCTGCTATAGGCTTAGACTGCTGGAGGACAAACTGACCACATTTAATAATAATAATAATAATAATAATAATAATGTGTTGTGTATTGTCATCGTTGTATGTTCCCATACAAAGACAAAATTGGCTCTTTGCTTTTAACCCATCCACCACCAGGTGGAGCAGTGGACAGCTATGGAAAGCGCCAGGGGAGCAAATGAAGATGCTCTCCTGTTTAGAGACACCACGAGGTGTGCAATGACCGAGGATCGAACCCAGAACCTTCACTGTTGCTGTCTTTACTTACCGTACTCTGCTCAACCTGTTTTTTATTCATTTTTTTCTGCCCTTGACATGTTTTTTATTTTGTCTTCCTTCCAATAGGGGGTACACCTGCACCTACACCTGGACCAGTCATTTTGTGTTCATCTCTCCTTCCTGTCCTCTCAAACTCAGCCGGTCAAAGCAGATGACCGCTTGTCCTGAGCCTGGTTCTGCTGGAGGTTTCTTCCTTTTAAAAGGGAGTTTTTCCTTTCCATTGTTGTCATTGAGCTTGCTCAGGATGGGACACTGCAAATAAGTGAAATTCAATGAGTCTGCTGGCTTCCTTAGATAGAGAACTTTACTAATTGGCTTTTATAATGTATATGAATGTTTCTGTAAGTGCCCTGAGATGGCTTCTGTTGTTATTTGGCACTATATAAATAAACTGAATAAAATTGAAGTAAATGAAGCAACTTCACCGCCAGCTTTGAGTCGAGCTCCACTGAAAATCGCAGGTGTGGTGAGAGACTGGGAAAAGTAGGGCCGAGTGATTCTTGATGCCATTGCAACCACGGTCAATGTGATTGCCAATCAGCGTTGGCAGGTACCGACGCAAGCAAAGAAGCACGTAGATGAAAACAAGTCTAAAACAAGGAGCTGAGTTCTCAACAAGAAGCACCAAACTCTGGGATCTTTTTGACCATTACCTGAGACCAAAACACTACGGAGGTAATCTATCCATCCATCCATCCATTATCTTTACCCGTTTATTCCATTTTTGGGTCACGGGGGTTGCTGGTGCCCATGTCCAGCAATCACTGTGCGAGGGGCGGGGTACACCCTGGACGGGTCGCAAGTCCATCACAGGGACACATAGAGACAAACGAGACAAACAACCATTCACTCTCTCACTCACACCTAGGGACAATTTAGAGTTACCAATCAGTCTAACATGCATGTTGTTGGTCTGTGGGAGGAAACCGGAGTACCCGGAGAAAACCCACGCATGCACGGAGAGAACATGCAAACTCCACCCAGAGGGCCCTTGGACCGGGGTTTGAACCAGGGACCTGCTCGCTGAGAGGCAGCAGCTCTACCAGTTGCGCCACCGTGCTGCCCCACTACGGAGGTAAAGAACATAAATGAATAATGCAGTGACTGAATGAAAGCACTTGCTAAGAGCAGTCAAGGATGAATTAAGCTAATTTAAAGAGGCCAATTTTAATTTGAAGCTGGGTAGATGATTCAAGCCTGATGAATGTATTTGTATTTTTGCTTTTAGTCATTGGTCTTTGTTTATTAGCTTTTGATTTAACATTACAGGGATTTGTTGTGTATCTGTATTCATGTCATACTTATTAACTGCACACAAGCTTAAAACATGAGCTTCTGTAGATAAATGAGCTTCAACAGACATTTATTAACCACACAAACTGTAAGGATGTAAGACATAGGGGTGCAGAAAAAAATAGATTTTTCGATGAATCTAGATTCTTAGTCCTGGCGATTCTGAATCGTTTCTAAAGGTCTATAAATCGATTTTAAAATGCATTTAAGTTTGTTTTTGTTTTTTTTCCACTCCTACTCCCCGTTCGGCCGCCGTAGAATTGAGCCGTGTAGGCCACCATACAGCAAGCTAGTTAGCCAGCTCCCTTTATCTGAATGGAGCCTGCTAGATTGGAGGACAGCGCAATTCAACCCGCCTCTTCATCTTTAAAAATCATTTTAGATCCTACAATGTTCCGGGGGAAGACAGAGCTTCACAAGAGCACAGTTGTTTACAAGAAGCGTAAAATAAAATTGCGGTACAGTATTTTGGAAATACGACAAAATTCACGGAAGATGAAAGTGAAACAGCCGACCAGCAAACTCTGCAACAAACTTCCAGGCTTCTCCAAAGGCTGTGAAGATTTCCCTCTCCATCTCCTGCTGTATCACAAAGGATTTACGATCAGACAGCTCAGTGGAAGGTGAGAGGTTCAGGTTTATTTTAATACGCTGGATTCAATGTACGTTATTCCTTCATGTAGATTTTTTTTTTTTTTGCGATAAAGCAGCACCACAACTTCACCATGAAACAACAAATGGGAGAAGCTCTGATACAGCTCAAAGATAACTGTTTTTTATCATATTATACTAAAACTTATAGACAAGTTGTACAACAAACTTTATGTAATTAGTCTTTTTAACAGGTTGAAGAGATGAGACGCATCACCTGGAGCCAGTTCTAAATGATACAGTTTATGGTTTATAAATTACAGTTTACAAGAGGTTTTTGTGAATTTTTGTTAAAGATTTACTAAATATGAATCAATATGGTTAAGACTGAAGTCTGTATATTTCATATTAGGTTAAGTTATGAAAATATAACAAATGTTAGAGCAATATGGTTAAAAATAACTGTGAAGTCTGTATTTTATGTTGAGTTAAAGGTTAATGTACTATGGTAGGCTGAAGTCTGTTTACTTTTGTATTTATATATTTTGAATTATTTGTCTGTGACGGACTGGAAATCTGTCCAGGTGTCCTCCACCTCTCACACAGTGACGGCTGATATGGGCACCAGTGATACCAGTGACTCGAAAAGGAAGAAGTGGGTAAACATAATGGATGGATGAATTATTATTTTATTTTTTTTTTTAGAAAAATTCAGGCAACTAAGCTAACCTAATACTGGTAATTTAAGTGAATTTTATGCACTCCTGTAGTTTGTCCTATTTTTGGTATAACTATAAAATGAATCAAAAAGATTTGATACAGTAAGGAACCTAAAATGATTGTTTTAAATAAATGTTCTATTTGTTTACATTGTTGTTTAATCTTTTCAGCTTGTCAGTTACATATACATTATAACTGAAACAAAATTTATGACCATGTCAATAGAAAAATCGTTTCTGATTTGAAAATCCTTTCAGAATCGAAAAATCGATTTTAAATTGGATTGTGACACCAAAAATCGGAATCGAATCAGATCGTCAGACACTGAGATTCGCACTAGAGGATGACATTTTTTCGGGAGTACCACGGGTCACGTGACTCCGGCCGGATTCCGGCGGGACCGGAGTCAACCTCATTATAACTCACATGACCGGGACATGACCGGACTGAAAGCTAACGGGAGCAGACAGGAGTGGGAACCGACCAGTAACCAAAAACGAAAATGAAAACAAAAAAAACCAGGCACAGCTATTTTGTAGTTTTCTTTCAGTAAGCCTTCACTTTAACACAAGTCAAAAGAACTACATTGCCCAGAAGTCAACTGTTCCAGCCATAGCTTTTCACTGAGAGGGTGGGAGGAGCAGCGAAGTAAAGAAACCAAGTAGCTGAAAATTGTTTGCAACGCAAGGTAAGAAGCAACCGTCTGTCTATTAAACTCACAGAACGGGCAGGAAATTGTCAAATAACCCTGAACTTCACGAGAGTTGTGTTGGTGCTGTGCTGCTTTAAACTTTAGTCTCAGCTGCAGTGAGGAGCTGCTTTGTTTACCGTCAGTAAATGAACAGACTCAAACAGCACATTTTTCTCCACCTTGTCCCTTTTAATTTAAAAATTATGCTCTGCTTTGTTATGTGGGTTTTTAGGTTAAAATCTTCATTATCTGTCGCTGTTTGTAATGTAAAAATAAACCCGAACTCTTCCTGATTAAAGTGCACGCATGCTCCGGTAAAAATATCCCAGTTTTTATATTTTGACGTCCTGCTGGATACTGAAATGGAGGAAAACATGAATAACAATTATTTTTTATGTAAATAGTTACTGTCAGCTGTAACCATGCCAGTACAACAACAAACCTGTTAGAGTGAAAGCATTCTCCAGTAAAAATATCCCAGTTTGTAAATGAAAGGCTGGTTGCATATATATTATAATAATTATTTTAGTTTTAGATTTAAGATATGATGTGTATGGTGTGTAAAATTTTAGAGTTGATTTTTCTCAGTTCATTTCTTCACACCAGGGGTGATTCTAGAAGCACTTTTTAGGGGGCTTAGCCCCCCAGTGTTGACAATGGCTATTGGCTTGAACCACACAGTGTGTATTAGAATTATTGTAGGGGGACATATTGGTGCAAGGTCAGTGGGTCCTCCCCCATAACTTTTTGAATAAAGTAGCTGCTATTTCCTGCATTCTGATGTATTTTAACAGGTTTTAAAACATTTATGTTTACCTACATAAGTAAATCCTTGATTCAATAACTGTTTTATAAAGCATGGCACAAGAAGTAGCACTAACCTTTTTGATTGTCTTTCATTTAATTTAATTTTTCTACCTAACATAGGAAGCTATGTTAAGATGGTGGAAGTTTGGAACCACTGGTTTCTATTCAGTCTGTGTTGAACGGAGAAAAGACTCAAAGGTCACAACGAGAGGTCCTTTGTGGGGACAGAATAACCTCTCACAAGGACAGCAGTTGCACCTCCCCACAGTCAAACCTTTACTGAAGGTAAGAAAAGTTAAATGTTAAACTGCTGGGGGTTTGCTAAAAGGCGCATGAACGACTCAAACCATAAAAAACAAAAATCTGGTGAAACAAGGATTGAACAAAAGTGTGTGTTCAGACAGAGTCAAAGGCAAATACACACAAGTACAACGTTAGGAAGAGAGAAAATATTCAGTGTTTAAACCTTAAAAATCGGATTATCTGAAAGAAACTAAATGTCTTAAAAGTGTCGGGGTTTGTTCAAACATGTAGCGCACAAACTTTAATTTTACTCCTTTGGACAATGTGATGGCACACATGGGCACATGGGTATTAACTCGGCGTTCAACAGGAGGCGTGTGTGTTCTGACCTGTAATGTGATGTTGTTGATATTGCTCGTA